ATTATTTAGTTTATTTTATTATTATAAATATTTTACATTGAATTCTTCAATTCGACTTATTTATTAATGCAATCTGACATCTCAAAAAATCGCCTCAGTATCATACAAATATTAATTATTGCAATATATAAAATCAGCTTAGAATTTGACTGCTTTCGCTCAGTGTATTTGTGTGTGAATAGTTGTTGTCTGGCCCGCAGTCCTCATGTAGGGCCACTGTACATTCTGAATGAGATGAGGAGATGATAGTATGAGTCTGAGTCTGAGTCTGAGTCTGAGCTGCGTTCAGATGCTAGATGAGAGGCACTAATGAAGTTTCGGTCGGTTTGTCCTTTTAAGGACTACGGCTTGCCAGCCTCATTGTTTGACTTTGCCACGCCCCCGCCGCTCGCCCCACCACCTGACAGATCTTCCCTTTATCAACCTACAAGTCAGAGAGCTCATAATGTTTGCACAGTCAACGAAAAGCGTGCGCCTGTATGTGTGTGTGTGTACTGTGTGTGTGCGGGCCTGGCATTTGCCTGCTCTGCTGGCACTCTATTTATTTATGTTTATAATAGGATTTTTATCAAAACTTTTCTGCTTCTTGCTTTATTCGTTTTACGCTTTTCATTTTGGTTTTGTTCCTCGCTCGATTCCATTTTGGTAATGAGCATTTAAAAAAGACAACAGCTACTAGCAACAGCTGACCCGCAGCTGCTCTGGCGTTTGTCTTTTGACACGCCCCAATGTCCCTCTGCCTCCTCCTACCCACTCCCTTCACACACTCACTTGGGGAATGGGAGAGCCAGCGAATGCCCGCAGAAACGTGCAGCCAGTCCAACTTTTTTTTATTTTTATTTTTGGTCATTTCCATTCACACCAGAGCTCAAACTTTTTATGTTTTACACTTATTTTACCACACTTAATATAATGCCCGAGCTCTAGCCACGCTATCGAAAAACCAGGCAACTAAATAATTACCAAATATTTGTGCACGTTTATTATGCTCGCTCACATAGTGCACAAAGAGAGTATATTGGTTCTATGGAGAAACTTCTGTTGGCTATTTATAGATTAGCTGACTATGCTTCAGTGCCCTATATATATGTATATATATATATCATGTGAAATCAATAGAATCAGAGAAATAATCACAGCCATGCCTAGCTCTAATTATTACGTCTAGTTCATAATGCATTAGCTCCTTAACAATCGAACACTAATTCTAGATATAGGGAACAAAAATTGATCCATAAAGGAAAAACATAATACATATCGATTTATATAGAGATATTAAATATACTTATATCTTCAACAGTTCTAGTAGAATCTCAATCGCTCTTAACTTTCTCTACAGATTGAGATTATTATGTATTTTTGATATATTATATTTTATAACATTATATTAGATTAAGTATATTCTTCAGCTTCAAAGCTAGAACAGCAAGTTGTCAACTTATTTCAAGAACAGCCCAAAAATTATAAGATCTAAAACAAATTTCTCGTTTCTAGACCTTGACTAATCACAAGAGAATCTCCTTTTTTTATGTATTTAAATTTAAGCCTGAGTATTAAGCATTCCATTCAACCCAATAGTAAAACTCTAACTAATGTGCTTTGTTTTATTTTTTTTTTTTCACGCATTCATCTTATTATGGTTTGACAGCCTGTTGGCACCGCCTCTGGGTCTGGCTAAGCACTCATTAGCCACGGCCGTCCATTGCGACTGTCTGCACTGATTATAGACATTCGAGAGTAGAGACAAACATTTCCCACTAAATTCACTGCTTAAATATGCCTAATTTGATTTGGCATTTCCCGTTTTTCCGGGCGCTTTACGCTCAGGCACTTTGCCAAAAGAGCAGCCGCAATTAAAAGTCAGCCGCAAAGGCAACCAAAACCAATTGCAGAGCATTCAAACGCTATGAGCTCGAAAGTCAAGAACCTCAAGGACCAAACGCCAAGGAAGATTACATTTATATACATATATATGTATATGTATGTATAAAGAGCGAATGCTGCACGCAAACCGCAAACTGGGATGAACTTAAAGAAATGGACATCCCAAAGCTACCTCAGACACTTTAAAAACCAACTAGTTCACATAATGAACGAGCTGTGAAACGAATTTTAATTAAAGCTAGAGCAAAAAGAGATGCAGAAAAAATGACGAGAAACTTTTAAATACAAAATTTAATTTAGCTTTAAAAAACTATGAAAATTGCATAGAAAGGCGATAGTTGAAGAAGGGGGAGAGACATAGACAGAGAGAGAAGGAATGAACTAGTTAAATGAACCCCAGCATATTAAAATCCTAGCTTAAAGTATATCAAATTCATATGATGCACAAGCTTCTCATTAGAAAATTTTCCGTAGCCTGATGAAAATCGCATAGAAAGGTCATTGAAGACATAGGACTAATTGAGAAACTGAAACGTGAGCACACTACAGTGCCTAATTAAGAGAGCTAATCAAGCAGCGCTCTAAATTAGATACACGCTCTGACAGATATTATAAATGGAGCTCGTGAAAACCGCATAAAAAGGCAGGAGAAGCAATTTCAAAGGCATTTTAAATGAGTTAATGTTTGTCTCATTATAAAATGTAAATAACTAAAATGACAGCTAAGAACAATCGAAAAAAGGGGTTAAGCTGCGGCGATAGAAGAGCAGCCTAACTGACGAGTTTTAATGACGAATATGAGCCTAAACGTAGATGAATACATACAAACACACATACACACATAGAGAGAGAAGAGTTTTGTTCTGGCTGGCAAATAATGACAAGTTTTCAAAGCCCATTAATCATGAAAAGTTCATAAGGACTTAATCCATGCCAGAGCCAGAAACAGAACTAAGTAATCCCAACAGCTGGGTAGCACACACACCAACCACATACACACACACACACACACACACACAGTCGAGCTGTCGATATTTGTTTTTCGTTTGGCTTTGGCAACAAATTAAGAGTAAAACTGACGAAAAGCTGCGTCTCGCTTGGCCTACAGGATATAAACTTGCAAAAATTATATACAGCATGACTTTTTATTTACTTCTACATATATATATATATATACTTTGTATATTTCTACATGCTAT